TTTAATTGGGTACCGTCCAGGCAACCAGTTCCATTTTACCCCAATCCTGGTCCCTGGCCAAAAATCGTTGAATCAATCAACGACCCATTAACTCGAGTGGTCAACCCATTGACCCATTCAATGGTTTTTTATTTTTTTATTTATTTTTTATTTTTGTTGTCAAAACGGGCCGTCTATTCAAACTTGACAATTGAACCGTCAACCCAAAAACCGATGGCCAGAATGGTTCCATTTTCGAGTCGTATGAGTCGCACGCTCGAATGACATAACATGTATGATACTACTTAATGGACCTCACACACTCAATCTGTTGCCTGTAATTTTTGTTGTCAGAATGGGTCKTTCGTTCAAACCGGACGATCGAATCGTCGACTCGAAAACCGGTGGCCAAAATGGTTCCGTAATTTTTTGCAATTTTTTGTTGTCAGAACGGGCTGTCCATTCGAACTGAACAGTCRAACCGTTGACCCAAAACCAGTGGCCAGAACGGTTCCATTTTCGGGTCGTATGAATCACACACTCGAATGACATAACACGTATGGTACTATTTAATGGACCTCACAAACTCAATTTTTTTCCAATAATGTTTGATATTAGAATGAACCGTTTGTTCGAACTAGATGATCGAACGTCGACCTGAAAACCAGTGGCCAAAATGGTTTTGGAATTTTTGTTGTCAGAACGGGCCTTCTGTTCGAACTGGACGATTAAACCGTCGGTTGTCAAAACGTTATTAACAACATTTATCAGTAATAGTAAGTAATTATACTATTTAATTAAATAATCATTAATGATAGTTTTAATAAAATTATTTAGTTATTTTTAATATAAAAGTAAATATTAAATTTATGAATAGGATTTATTAACWATATTCATTAAATTAATAATTACCAAAATTAAATTAAATTAACATATTTATCAGTAATAGTAATTATAGTATTTTATTAAATAATCAATAACAATACTTTTAATAACATTTTTAATTATTTTTAATATAACAATAATTACTAAATTTATCAATAGTATTTATTAATAACAATATTAATAATTTTAATTTAAAGTAAAATCAATGTAAATATCTATTTATTAATAATATTTAGAATAATAATAATAATTAATTATATATTTATTAAATTACTGTAATAATCAGTAACAGTAATAATTAATAACAGTAATTACTGTTATTTATAATAGTAATTAATAACTGTNCTATTTATTAATAATATTTAGAATAATAATAATAATTAATTATATATTTATTAAATTACTGTAATAATCAGTAACAGTAATAATTAATAACAGTAATTACTGTTATTTATAATAGTAATTAATAACTGTTATAATAATAATAATAATTTAAATAACAGTAATTTATAACAGTAATTACTGTTATTGTAATTAATAAGATAATAGTGCTCTCACGTGGAAATATATTCTCACGAATAGATTCCATTTGCTGAAAGAAAGCCTACGAGTCTGATAAGTGATAAGGATGAAGGCAAACTTGTATGTTGTATCAAACAGAACCCGTTGACATCCCAACGTTTCCCAACTGACTAATCTCAACATTTCCATTTTATTTTTAAACCTATAATTTATTTAATCTAATCATCCAGGTTGATGGGATTTGACTCAATGTTTTTTTACATATTACTGACTACTAGCACCAGGGGTGCTCAATAAAAACTGAAAAATCTGATTAATCAATCCGATTGGCTCTGTTTCAGTTTAGTGTTTTTTTTGAAAATCAGTGGTATCAGTTCAATTTCGGTTAGGTTAAAGAAAAACCAATGATTAATTGAAGATTAATATATATATATATATATTTCTTTAATATATATTATACTATATGTTATATATAAATTTATATACATTATATATAAATATAAATATAYATTATATTTGTAATATTTGTATTATATAATATTATATATTTATATATTTATTTATAATATATATTTTAAAAAAAGGGTTTCTATCAGATAAGGGCACCTTTTTGTTCGGAGTCCAATATATATTATTTCTTTCTTTGCCTCTAAGTCCAATATCTTTGCACCCTTGTTTGTCCCCCCAGTTTGACCTTTCCCCGGTGACTCCCACACCATTTTCACGCCGGAGAATGCTGGTGACGTCTGCCGGAAAACCCTCCCACCTGCCAGAGATTTGATCCACGTCGGTGTGTATTTGATGTTGTCACCGTCGAATACGAACTCGAATGCAGCCGTTGCCGTCAACTTCTGACTCGATACGTAGTGAGTCCCAGCCGTCGAGGGAAATTACATCACCGTCGATCTCGAATTTTGCTATGGAGGCAGATGCGGAGCCCGGGAACTGGTCCTGGATTAGTAGTCAAACAAGAACAGTAAAAGCGTATACCTGCATCATAACCCATATCCAGATTAAAGCTTTTACATAGACCCAATGACAAAACATTCATTATTCTTGTCTAATCTTTGTCTTCCTTCACTACGTTTTACCATCTTTTCACAGCACAGACAGAGAGAGAGAGAGAGAGTTGCAGTGTGACTGAAGAAAGAAAACCAAATCAAATAAAGAAATGGCGTAGCACAGAATTGGGTTATGGAGTAGATAATATCARTACCAGATTATACATTGTAAAACGACCAGTTGCACCATGAGGCTCTGAGTGAAGTCTCATTACATGAACTTGAGCAGTGGAATGCCCATGGCTACTGTGTTTGGCAGTGTTGCAACAGAGAAGAGAGTGATTAACCAATCTAGTCCTCCATGGAAGATCATGGCCCAGAGGGAGAGCAAAACAAGCACCAAGATCTTAGAAACAGTATCAGCCAGTATGAATTTGGTGTCCATCTGGTATGGTCGTATGGGCTGTTCTGAGATATGACAGCACCGGAACAACAAACACAGCAACGAACCGATTGATGCTGGAGCACTGCTCCGTCGTAAATATCTTCCACCACTTCACTGAACTATACGCCACCAACATGGAAAAGTAGAGTGCAACCATCGTGCACATTTTCTATATTGTTTGCATGAATACAGAGGCAGGGAAAGAAAATAAACAGTATTACTATCCTTTTTTAATATTTTTTTTCAAAAAATTATTCTATTTTAATTATTTTATAAAAACATTATTTTTTATTGATATTTAAGGCAAAAAGTTGCCCTTATCTACTAATAGAACCCCTAAAAATAAAAAATGAAAAACCAAAGAATCGAACCAAACAAGCGGTTAATCGATGTTAACAGTTTTCCAAAAGCCGATGACTGGTTCSATTTCAAAAAAGAGCTCACGGTTATACCGTACCCTTAGTACTGAGGTCGGTTGGTGTAAAATGGAGTCGGAATTCTTATAGGGTGACTGGTGACGGGTTGAACGATCCGACCGTCTGAATCAACCACGGGTTTAAAACATTGCTTGATTCGGTTATTCAGATCTTCATATAAATCCAAATCCAAACTCGAAATTCGAAAAACCAGGGGACGGTAGCCCGACAGTCGACAGTTTGCCAGAGGCGTTGGCGAGAGAATGGATTAGGCCTAGTTGCTTTTTAATTTCATTCGAGGAGTCCCCTGCGTCCGCATATATTTCGCAAGAAAATATCGACCCACGGAAGGAGAGGAAAAATGTCCAATAAAGAAGATGCTGAAGATGGAGGTGATCCATTTCCAACGGTGAAGCAGAGGTTCAGCGATCGCACTAAGGTTAGAATTGCATCTTTTTTTTTTTWAWTTYCMWWARSMAMYYYTTATCTTTCTCTCTCTCCCTCCATTAAAAAAAAACGATTTGGTGTTTGGGTTGTTGTTGATAGAAAGTTACAAAGGAGATTATATCCAAGCAAGCCGTTCAGACTAAGGAAATCATATCGAAACAAGCGGTAAAAATCGCTAGGCAAGCCGAAGAGCATGAGAGATTTATCAACAAGGTATGCTTTCACCGTTTACGTCAGCCTATGTGTTTCATTTCTCTCTCTCTCTCTCTCTCTTGTAATTTTATAGGATGGTTATTTGTTGTTTGGATTGGTTTTGTTCAAAATTCTGTTTCTTTTATTGTTTATTTCATGTTTGACGATTGTATTTATTTGATTTGTTCTTGCATATTTAGGTGACCCATTTAATAGGGGTTCTTGGGTTCGGCGCATTCTGTTTTCTGCTAGGATCAAGTGAGTAAAATAATTGAATTTCGTTTAGATGTACATGTTCTTTCCCCCCCCTCAACATACAGTTAATGAGAAGAAATTTGTTACCGAGTTTCTATTTTATTGCTCAAATTCAGGACCGCAAGATGTTCCATATGTATACTGTTTCTTCTATGTCATATTCGTTCCTCTGCGATGGATATACTATCGTTTCAAGAAATGGCATTACTATCTTCTGGTGAGCCCCGGCATCTCACTTTTTCTTTTTCTTTTTTAACTCATTTCATCCTAAATAGTTTTTGCATTTATTCGCATTCCAATGGTGAATTCTACTTACAAAAAAGGGTGAATAATCTGCATATGGCCGGCCGTATGCTTTGGTAAACAAGTTTCAATATTGAGTCATAGGCTCGGTTGAATCCAGCGAGCCGACTCCCGCAGACAATAGGTCATGACTCATGAGTTTGACATCCTTTGTCACCAATGGATGCAACTAGAACCATTTTTTGGTGCTTGTAGAGTCGTCTAGATTCTAGAAATGACAACATGATAGGTRCAATCACACAACTTGTTTTAGGTTTCTAGAGGTGGTTTATGGATCTTCTGTTTGGACAATCACGCAACAATTATGGGAAATAAGAAATAGATTCATCTTCTGTATGACACAGATGACCCCCTTTCTTTTGCGCTATATGGTTTCTCCTCATTACGTTATTCCAGATCTTGAAGATACATTCTGCTTTTGGGTAGGAGCAAAGATGTTTCCTTAATACTAAAGCAGAGGGCAATTAACTATGTTTCCTTAGCTTTAGTTTTGCGAAGCAAGTTTTATTTGTAAATTTTAGAACATGATGGGTTCAGTGGGACATTTAGGATATTGAGAATTAACTATGTTGAGATTTAAGCCACATGAATAGTACAAGTAGATATGACTAGGCATTTCTAACAATTATCCATGCGGTTCTGTGGTGTTAGTAGAATGGATGCTCAGGCTCGCTAATGGATTATGCACATCTTTTATCCTTCTAGCCTATTAGTCGAAAATTGGTGCTGCTGGGTTTGAGTTATAGGGTGGTCTTTTCTTCCATTCAGGCTTGTTGCCCCCTCTTCTTGTTTTTCTGTGCCTAGCCTTCTGGTTTTACCTCCTTCATTTTTCTCCTGCAATGAAAATTCTTTTTGTTATTGATTTCAAAGAAA